TATTTTCAGGCAGAGGATAAGTAAAACTGTGGGTACTGATCCAGTGGTCCTGCATATATCTAGACGCTGATAACATTAATTTGTGTGTCCCAAATTTCAGATATTCTGTGTCAGCTTTGCCCTTCTCCTCATCCCTAGCTGCTTAAGATGAAGAAAACACACCCTCTTTTTAGAAATAAGCTCAATTTTTATCAGCAATTTCCACAGACTGACTTAAGAGAACAAACCTATTGGCTCTGGGAGAGTGTCACAGTAGGAAATGGATTCCCCCTCTGAAATCAGAGACAGAACTCTAACCTCAGAGGGGAGATTTGACTCTGGAACCCCTTCTGTGTCTCTGTGGAAAATTTTACAGAGCTCTAATGTGGGACGTGGGACGTGGTGGCGCTGTGGGCTAAACCGCAGAAGCCTGTGCTGCAGGATCAGAAGACCAAGCAGTCGTAAGATCGAATCCACGCGACGGAGTGAGCGCCCGTTGCTTGTCCCAGCTCCCGCCAACCTAGCAGTTCGAAAGCATGCAAATGCGAGTAGATAAATAGGTACCATCTCGGTGGGAAGGTAAACAGCGTTCCGTGTCTAAATCACACTGGCCATGTGACCACGGAAGATTGTCTTCAGACAAACGCTGGCTCTATGGCTTGAAGAGCGGGATGAGCGCCGCCCCCTAGAGTCGGACACGACTTAAGAAGTGACTTTTCCGGGCTAGTCCACAGAAGCCTTCACCAGAGAATGTGAAGGAAAGAGGAGAGGAAATGTAAAAGCTTTGGGTCCACTCACCCTTCCTGCACATTGCTGACCTTGCCAGAGAAGACCATGATGGAGATGGGGGCAGGGGTTGTAGGGTGACCTGCTCTGACCCTCCATCAAGGTGGATCTGGAACTACTCTTCAGTAATCTAGTTTCGGAGTTTAGGATTTATGGCCCCATATTCTATCAGCTCTATTTCCCACTAAATATCTAAGCAAAAAAAAAAAAAGGCACTACCTGTAACAGCTCCATATCATCTGGATTTTCAGAGCCAGGAACGTTTTCCTTCAAGATTGCTGACATGACCCTCACATTCATCTTGACCATATCCAGTTCGCTGTAGAGCTTTCCAACCTGTTTGAGACAACAAAATGGCAAAAAAATATTAGGAAGCAACTATCAAGTGGTAGTCCTAATTAAAATTAAGAAATGCAAGTTTTAAATTCTGAGGAGAATGACATCCTTTTAATTTTTTTATTTTTCCTTCTGCTTTTGGGGAAAAAAATCAACACAGCTTCTCTAGAATAATCCCCAATCAGACATCGATAAGAAGCTTCCCGTGCTTTTCCAGCCACAATTCGCTTGTACAGGAAGAATCCATGGCAACCAATAATCAGGGTCAACAGTGCCAGAAGCACTTTATTTTGGCCAGCAAAGTATTAAAATGCACAACAGTTTTTTTTTACCTGTTCAGGAATCAACGTTATGACTGCAGTTGGTGAAAGTGCTCTTGATAATACCTTCGTGGAGGTACCGTTGGACAAGGGCTGTGAATATATAAATATAAATTAGGGTTTTGTGCTTTTCCCCCTTGAGTTTAAACCAGAGAAATACCACCAGAAGACAATGCTCAAAGAAGTTGTCACTCTTTGAACAGACACATTAACACATGTGAGAGGATTCTTGCAACAGCCACTTCCTGCCATGTTTTATCTGAACAATAGAACCCAAGACACACAATGCTCACTACATCTTGCTGCTCAGGAATGTCACTGGTCTTTGTTTTTTTAAGAAAAGTGTGTTGGGTGAAGAGTCTCTTCATACTGGAGACAAACTATTTAAGAAGTGTGGAAAGATATTAAATGTATGGAATGAACTTAAGACTGTCATCAAATACTTTATGTATCACTTTTAGGGCATCAGAACAGGCCAATAACTAGATTTTGATAAGCTAGATTTGAAAATTAATTCATTGGTTTTAACTGTTAGAAACTGCAAAAGTCAGTCATTGTTAATTTTGAAAGTGTGAAACGATTCAACCTGTTGAATTAGCGAGTGTTGATTTGCGACTACTTAAATCATTCAGAATAAACAGCAAGGTCTACAGACTTCTTACGGAGGCTACTCTAAGGAAACTGTTACGTATAGGAAAGGTGTGTGTCCTATCCTAGTACTGTATCTCATCTCTTTGTCCAGAAAAAGAGACGCCTATGCCTATCCAACAAGACTAACACTATACAGAAGTAATCACAACTCTGACCAGTTTCAGATTCCCATGTGTAGCAGAAAACTATCAATGTTTTGTCCGAAAATATAGTCTGGCTGCTCAGCTCCCCACTCCCACCTTGTTAATCAGGTCCTGCTTTTAGGGTCTAAAGGTTTAGTGGGCAGAAGATGTGTGGACATGTTGCTCAGACAGGCCTATAGATATATGAAGTAGGGCCTGGCTTACTGACCTTTGGAAGGCCCTGCCTATTGAATGGAATCACGGACATGTTTTGTTTGTTTCAAAAACAGCATGACTGATTATTTCCTGTTGGCAAAGGAGGCTAAATATTTCTCAGGATTACACCCTTTTGCATACTGCAATACATCATGGACCTCATTTTCACACCTGACCCTCTCACAGGTTAGACAGGTCAGTGACCAACTCTTGAGGCTCTGCTTTTGTTGTTATTATTTGCTATCAAGCTGGGCTTGGTGGCACAAGTCGAAAGTAGGGTTTTCAAGGTAAGTGAGATATTTAAGAAGTGACTTTTCCTGTTCCATGCCCCCAGCTCTGACCAGGGATTCAAACCCAGGCCTCCTAAGTCCTAGTCCGTTGTTCTATCCACTATACCACTGGTTCTTAACCTTTCTTATTCTGATGTTTTTGGACTGCAACTCCCAGAAGCCTTCACCATCAGCTCTGCTGGCTGGGGCTTCTGGGAGTTGCAGTTCAAAAACACCTGAGTAACAAAGGTTAAGAACCACTGCACTATACCACACTGGGTATCACCATAATGGATTCTGCAGATGAAAGTAAGAATTAGAGGGATCCATCAAAAAGGAGCTGCAACTCCGCAGTCCAGAGCACTGCAACGTGCAGTACAATCAGTAACAATCAACAGTAAGGATGGGAGCTAACTAAGTCCTTCTGCTGACAGTATGGCTTCTGACTGTAGAATATGGACGAGGACATTTTTCCCTCCAGCCCAGTATGCACTTACAGTATGAACTGTTAAGGAAACAGCTGTTTGCTTATGCAGCCCTACATTACATAGAGTAAATAACAGACGTATTCAATTGTGATAGGCAAATATGCTCTATAGCTAGATACAGGTACAGTGGTGCCCCGCTTGAAAACGATAATGCGTTCCAGCAAAATCACTGTACAGTGAAATCATCGCCAAGTGAAAAAAAAAACCCATTGGAATGCATTGAAAACTGGTCAATGCATTCCAATGGGGGAAATACCTGATAGTCCTGCGAAGATCCTCCATAGGGTGGCCAATTTCCGATTCCTGTCTTGTGAAAATAGGTCAGCAAAACAGCGGGGAGCCATTTTGCGAACTGCGATCAGCTGTTTGTAAATTGTTGTTATGTGAAAAATCGGTTCCCGAAGCAGGGAACTATTCATCGTCAAGTGAAAAAAACCCTATTGGAATATCATTTTGCGATCACTATAGTGATTGCAAAAAAGGCATCGTAAAGCAATTTTGTCGTCAAGCGGAGTCATCGTCAAGTGGGGCACCACTGTACAGACAATACTTATAATGAGAAATAAGTAATCAATTAAATGAGACTTGTTCTATGCCTATATTAAAAGAGATGAAACCATCAGAACATGACAACCAGTGTGAGGGCTGGGAAAAAACATTTCAATACTTTTCAAGTATATCATGTGCTTTATGATTCTATTTTGTAATCCTCCCTTCCCTTCCAAATAATCTCCTGTAGTCTGCCAGCACATGTTGGGTTTTGTTTTTGTTTTGATGGAGACAAACAGCCTGCAGGGCAGTCCAGATGCTTCATTTCCTTTAACCTAAAGAAGAAAGTACAATTCTACGGACCTCGTGAGCAGCTCTGGAGAGCCTCAGCCTCTACATTTCCTGTTTAAGAAAAACAGGCCTCCCACTCTTTTTTCTTAAATGCTCCAAGGCAGAAAGGTAGGACTGGTTTCCTCAGCAAAGCAGGTGATTGTGTAAAATGTGGATTATTAATCAGCATCCCTTCCCGGTGTGTGGAGATTTTGCAATGTGTATAACCTCTGGCCATCTCATGAAAAGAGTAGACTCCCTGGAAAAGATGCTGATGTTGGGAAAGTGTGAAGGCAAGAGGAGAAGGAGACGTCAGAGGACAAGATGGTTGGACAGTGTCACCAAAGCTACCAACATGAATCTGACCCAACTACGGGAGGCAGTGGAAGACAGGAGGGCCTGGCGTGCTCTGGTCCATGGGGTCATGAAGAGTTGGATACGACTTAACGACTAAGCAACAACAACATATGCTGTTACCAATCAGCAGCCACCAGGATAAGACCCTACCTTGGTTGACCCCTTGCTGATCTCATAGAATGGAAATTCAACTCCTTTCTTCAGAAGCTCCAAGTAAACCTCTTTGACTTCACTCACATCCACAGCACCCTGAAATCCTCGGGCCCAGGTCTGTTGGTGAAGAAAGGCAACAGCTACTGACAGTGAATGAAGTTTCTTTTCCTCAAGCAAGATAACACTTGAAGTTACAAATTCATCAAAATGAGATTCCCCCCCTAAACCTCCCATTTTCACGAACCTACAAGTGGTCTTGTGATACGACTCTACATGCATGTTCCCAAAAAGGATCAATGGAACAATCCTCACCATGAGGGCGAACAGTTCAGTGAACATCTTGACACATTCGGTAGTGGGTATACTTAAGTTGTGGCCCTTCCAAATTTGCTGGATTGCAACTCCCATTAGCCCTAGATGGCACAACGATGGTGAAGACTGGTGGGAGTTGCAGTCCATCTGGAGTTATAAATGGAAAATTCTGTAATTAGAGAAAGAACTGAACATTTGAAGTGAAATGGCCAATATCTGGAAGTTGAGTCATGGCAACTGAATTTCTTTATTAGGTTGAAATGTTTCGCTACTCATCCGAGTAGCTTCTTCAGTCTGAGGAGAGTTGGTAGGAGATCCCCGATATATCCTCCATGTTGGTTTCACATCCCCCTGGATGTGACCATTAACAGTAAATGATCCATGACAATGGGTGAAGGACTGCAGAAGTGGGATATTCACTCACCCCCAGTCCTTCTAACAAGCCTATTCAGACCAGTGGGACATATCACTCTCCTCACACTGAGGAAGCTACTTGGATGAGTAGCGAATTGTTTCAACCTAATAAGAAAGAAATCTAGATGCCATGACTCAACTTCCAGATAATCTCACCTGGATGACTGAGAATCTTCACAGATAAATGGCCAGTAATGATATCAACCAGATTCCTGTTGCGTTACATGGCTACAGAAGGGCAACTGCACAAGTGTCTGTCCTAGCCATGCTCCTGTTATTACCTTAGAAGAAGAGGGGTGCTTTGCCTCTCTGTCCTGCATGCGGGCTTCTAAGAAGCCTGGATTGGCTGCAATGAGTTCTTCTGAATATTTTGCTCTTGCAAAATATTACAGAAGACAATTTCCTGTGGCATAGTAAAAGGTGTTCTTCTGAAAGTCCCTATACAAGGCAAGGCTGTATTTCACAATGGGGTTCAAAAGGGTAATTATCCAACAGGCTGTAGGACATGTTAAATACTGATGTTATCACATGGAAGCACTTTCACAAGACCGTACTTCATTGTGCAAATAAATGATTTATGATTACCTCCAACCTCAAAAATAGGGGTGTGAATCAGCCTAGACTCACTCAGAATGAAGAGGAAGAATGTAGCCACAGATAAATATATTCCAGTTATTTACAGAGGACGCAGCAGGAATTGTCCCAGCTTGGACAATCCATTCCTCTGAGATGCATTTACATTACTGTGGAGAGAGGACCCTACTCCACATTAATTTTGGGGACTTTCATTTATAATTTTTCTGCACTCTCCATAACATATTGGTGCATAGTCTGAAGAAGTGGACTAGACTTTCATTTATAATTTTTCTGCATTCTCCATAACATATTGGTGCATAGCCTGAAGAAGTGGACTTGACCCATGAAAGCTTGCATATTGTTTGATATATTTTTAGTAGTTTAATAAAGGGGTCACCTATTCTTGCAGTTCTATAATCTGCTTCAACTCAATCCATTCACTGCCCTTTAAAAGGAGGTCTGAGACCTGAACAAATAACTAACTCTATGACTCAATAATCCACACCTGTAGGGGGAGTGGGAGGTATGGCTGTGTTGGTGGGGCCCGAGCTTAAAGGAAGTTGAGGAAGAAAACAAGGGGAACTCAGGCTCAGACTCCCCATCCTCAGCAGACCCTGAGGGGAAGGAGTGGGCAGAGACAGAAAAAGGGCCCTTTGAGAAGTGTAGCCACTGGACATCCAGAACCCCCTGGCCCAGTGCATAGGTCCCCTTGTGGCCTGCCAAAGGGTGAGGGTACGGGAAAGGTGTGGCGCTCTTCAGCCCACCTGCTCCAAATACTCCCTGGAGACTGAGATGTCTCACTAGGCACTCCAGTCCCGCCTTGTGAACCAGAAGAGGTGTGGGAGGAGGAAGGAGCAGAAGGAGCACCTTTAGCAGAGTCCCTGGAGGCAGGGCAAACTCGGAGGACCTGGCTTGGCCTTACCAGCCTGCCTTAAAAGGCATCAGCTGGCTGGAGTCAGCATGGAAAACGAGACTCCGTGGGGCACTCGCTCCCAAACATTTGGCTTTATGGGCAGCTTCATACGGCCACAAAGGAATGGCTTAAAAGCAGGGCTGGAAGCCTGCTCTGTTGTGCTCTTCTTGTCTCCAGCTTCCTTGCTCTCTCCACAGCCCTGTATTGGCTGCTCGCCATATACAGCTTAAGGGAGATGGAGGACAAACGAGCTGGAGGCTCTGCTCAGTGTTTTCCCCTGCACGGCAAAAGGCAGTCGTCATGAAATATTTATTACTCCCACAGTGCTTTCATCTGCAGAAGAAAAGGTGGGTCACTGGGTGTGGGCGTTCAGCTTACCATGATAAAGGTCAAGATTTTTTCCTGCAGATCCACCGGCAGGTTGAACCTTGGATTCAGCAACTTCACTAGCCTGTTTTTACAGAAATCTCTTCTCACAACCAAAGACTGGAAGCTTGGGCCACAGTTCTGCATGCACATCTCGAGGAGCTGTAAGGAGACATTTCACACACACACACACACACCCGGTTATGAAGACTTTTTATATCAGCACTCCAAGCACCTTCATTTAATTACAATTCTTTAGCAGGAATCCCACATGCTGTCTAAATAGCTCAGTGGTTTAGGTGTCTGGCTGCAGAGCTAGAAGATGAGAATTTGATTTCCCACTGTGCTTTCTTGCGAGTAGGGCCAGCCTGTGTAGTCATGGAAAGGTGCTCAGTCCCAGGGTGACCCCAGAAGAAGGAAATGCTCAACCACTTCTGAACAATCTACCTGGAAATTCCTGAAAAAGTTTGCCCTAATTCAGAACTGACTTAATGGCACGCACAGAGAGAGGTCCTACCATAGCTTTGTTGACTAACCACTCTAATTCAGAACTGACTTGATGGCACGCACACAGAGAGAAGTCCTACCATAGCTTTGTTGACTAACCACTAGAAAATTGACTTGAAGACATGAGAATTCTTAATACCACCCAAGTCCCTTGGAGGACTACACAAGTCCTTCCCCTCCCGCCACCACTTTCATCTCCTCCAGGACTGCTTCCCACATCACTGGCATCCCAGACCCAGCTGTCATCCTAGGTTTTCTCTCATTCTGCTAAAGCTTTCTTAGTCAAAGGTCTGCTAGTGGCCTTTTATGTAAGAGCTTATAAAGGGCATCATCTTATTTCACCACCAGGCTTACCAAAGTTGTGAAGGCAACAGTCATCCTCAATTAACGCTTTGACCCAGAGCTTGGAAACAGCTACCTTTTCGGAGTAACAATCTCCAGAAGCTGCCACCCGGCATAGGCACTGCTGCCTCTGAACCTTGAGGCAGCAGAAACAACCAAGAAGGGTGCATTCAGATTCCATTCATGTTTTCATTATGTTATGTACTGGCCAAAATCCCATTGCTTAGAGTAGGCCCTCTGAATCAGTGGGAATTTGTTGAGTCCATGCCTCTATACCAGTGGTCTCCTACCTTGGGCCTCCATGTTCTTGGACTACAGCTCCCAGAAATTCTGGCCAGCAGAGGTGGTGGTGAAGGCTTCTGGGAGTTGTAGTCCAAGAACATCTGGAGGCCTAAGGTTTGGGACCACTGCTCTATATGTTCCATGGACTGAATATGCTTTCTCTAGTTGTGACTTACTCTGTAAGTCGTGGTTCGCATTCCATGGACTGAATACGCTTTCTCTGGTTGTGACTTACTCTGTAAGTCGTGGTTCGAGTAGGCCCATTTGAATCAAACAAACTTACAGAGGAGTTAAATACCACTGTTCAATGGGCCTACTCTAGTGTGATTTACTGCATTAAGCAACAGAATTTTGGCTATAATGACCCAGAATTTTACTGATTACTTATGCTGGTGTAAGTACAATGGTGTAAACTGCAGTGCAAATTAGCACTGGTTAACAAATAATTGCTTACATCTCTTCTTATACACTAGTCACATGAGTGAGTAAAAGAGGGGAAATACCAGCCACAATAATTAGTGGAATCTGATGCTGCAATTCACATCACAGTATTTATGTCAATGTAACCAACCAATAAGACTCTGAACAATGACATCAAACAACCACAACCACAACCACAACCACAACCACAACCACAACCACATCATCATCATCATCATCATCATCATCATCATCATCATCATCATCATCATCATCATCATTATTATTATTATTATTACACTGTAGCTGTAGTCAGCAGGAATTCCACCCAGCCATACTGAGGATATGAAATGGAATGGAAAAGCAAAAGGACCATATCTTAAAGCAGCACTTCCCAACCCTGGAGTCTCCAAACTAAAACTTCACCACTAGCTATGCTGGCTAGAATTTCCGGGAGCTGTAGTCCAAGAACATATGGGGACCCAAGGTTGGGAACCACTGTCTAAAGGAACAGATCGAAATATTTCTGATTTATTTCAGGAAAATGAATAATAGGGCTGGCAGGCTTTCAAGAATACAACAGAAGCACAGAGAAAAAAGAACAGCAGTCCAGGGGCTGAATAATGTAATAAGAAAATCATCCTGTCATCATGACTGAATAATATCCTTCCCAGCTTCAACAAGGGTGTGTTCGGAGCAAAAACACTAAAACACAACTTTGACATGTAGAGTTATATGCTGTACAGTTTGCAGCATTAGATGCATAAATCCTGTGAAGAAGCTGGAAGCCTGCACTACTTCCTTCAGTTAACTGGGGCTTATCAAATTATATCTAAACCCCACATTGGCCAGGATGCTGTAGGATCATGTAGTGCAATTAAGTAATCATGGAAGTGACAGCTCTGCAGGTGTCCATCATACCCTTCAACCTCCTCCAGTTGAGAGATCCTCTATGTGTTACAGATGACCAGAGAGAAGGACAAACCTTTTGCACTGTTGTCCTCATGCATGGATGGCTTTCTCCAACAGAATCATAGCCCCTATGACCAACATGATTACTGCTTAGAGAACATGGTGTCTAAAATTCCTTTGTTTCCCTAAAGAATAAGACTTATCACCGTTTATCAAGGTTTGGACATAAGACTCAATCACTGTTAGTTTAAAAAGGAAGCCCAAGCTTTTATTCTGTTCTTCCCCAGGAGAGGAGAAGGAAGTGCACCGATTTGAGGCTTATTTGTGTAGTGACACACCATAGCCTAGCGTTACACCTGAATGAGGCCATTTTGTTACCACTGTACTTGAGACACACACAATGAAAAGTGTTAAAAATGAGCAGCACTGTTAATCATCGGCTCAATTCTTTAGCTGTGGCAATTCCCCAAGGCTAGGGCCAGCGTTGCCCACTCTGCACATTGAAGTAAAAAAAATCTTCAATATGGCAGAGGTGCCAATAAATAATTCAAGTGTGTTTGCTGTAGTGTAGGTAAGATTGTATTCAGGGAGAGTACGGCATGCTTTCATCATGTAGGCTTTGACTGTGCAGCAACATTTTAAAAGCAACCTTCCTCACTCTGGATTTTGAAGACTATTCTTTTCCTCAATGGAGGCAGGCAGAGAAAGATGCTGTGGTAGCCAAAATAATTAGAAAGGGGAAAAAAACCAAAACTTAAAGGATGCAGAACATTTTTAAAAAAAGAAGAAAAGAAGGGGAGAAGGGCCCCCTTTGAAAAGCTAAGCCAGCAAGCAGGACTTTCCCAAAAGCCTTGTCTTGAACTGTGTTTTTGAAAAGCCAGCATGAATGAAAGACATGCTAATCAACCTATCTGGCTATAGAGAGTCCTTGAAGAGAATGATGGCAAAGCATTTTCTGCAGATTGCAGGAAGGACTTAGGTTGGCATCTCCCTTTCGTGTGTTCCCTCTTGACAGGAAAGGCTGAACAGATGCCCTTTGGAGCAGAACTACTGTAATTAATGGGTCAGATCCCACACTCCATTACAGCAGCAAAACCTTCCCACTGCTTTCGAGGTAGTTTATGAGCTAGCAAGAGAGGATGAATTCATGAGGATGCATATTTTTAAGGCGTTTGCAAGTGAACGGATGGAAGTTACTTCCACAGTAACAACGATTTGGGTAACGAAAGAATGCTACAATTAGGTCTTCAATTAGTCTTCAGCCACACTAAAACATTCACACAAGTGAAACATAAATATTTACCGTACAACCCTTGTTCTCCATCCCACTCCCTGGCACAGTCAGACAAGTTCATCAGTTCTTTCAAGCAAGAGGCTCCTGATATGATGGCAAAGGTTCTCTACTTGCATGGAATCACCAGGAAGCTGGTAGAGCTCAGTGTGTCAGAGTGCCTGGGGTGGATGTTTCAAGTCGCCACCATGCCTTGCAGGAGGGGGCCAGTCAAGATCACTTGGGACACAGGACGGGGTTGTTATGTGCCCTGCCACCCATGTGGCTTCGGGCAAGCTGCACAGTCCCAGATCACTACCAGGACGACAGACTGGTAAGCCATGTCCGAGTACTTGATGTCTAAAAAATCCTGGGAAGGGCCATACGAGTCAAACATGATTCGACAAAACACAGTTATTATTATAAGCAGATGTTATGTGTTACAAACCAATTGACATCTACTTGTGTTTGGTATAGATTCCTTGTTATGTACAGGAAACCGCAAAATGTGCAATATATAGACCCTTCACAAGCTGAAGGACTCAAGGAAGCTTTTCTATGCAGACCCTTTCCACCCTACATCTTGTGCCAGATCAAAAATTCCTCTACTGTCTACTGAAAAGATCTGAAAATGAATGGGTTGCCAGGCTTCCTATCTCCAGCTGATATCTCAGGAACAGCACGGAGACAAACCTCACTGTGAGCACCACTAGAGGAGCAGAAGTCTTTGGATTTGTGTAATGGATTTAAGGCCTGGGCATTCATCTCTGCCCATTCCCAGCTAGTGCCAGGACTCCATACCTCACCTCAATCTGAATGTGTGTCACACTTGCATAATAATGGCTTGCCTAACAGCCAGGAGTTGGGAGGCGACTGGAGAGACAGTGAGTGGCTTCAACCCCATGGGCTGCAGCAAGTGTTCCAGAAGTGCTGGTAGCAGTTGGGGAAACTCTCCATGCGACCAGCATATTATAGTTACAGGGTGGGAGCCCCAGTAGGAATGACGACAACCACGTGCCTGCTGGGTCCTTTTTACTGCCTGCTCAAAGATTCCTTCCTCGCCCCTCATTGCCATATAACCTGGTTAGCTAGGCTTTACCCAGATTCCCAGCCCATTTACTCAGATTCCCCTGTGCCCATTTCCACAATAACCTGGCTCAGCAGCAGTTCCAGACCCCCGACTGTCCTGCCTCTATGACATCACAGAGGGCCCAACCCATGTAACATCAAAAGCACTCTCCTCCCTCATGTTATAGCCCTGAGTCTCAGAGGGAGGGATGCTTCTTATGTATTCTGGTCACTTTTAACTGCTGTTCATTAGTTGCCTTGCTCACAGCACCTCACAGACTGACAAAACTACACATAGAAAAACCAATAAATTGTTAAATATTGTATTTTCAGTGTATAGTCAAGATCTTGAATTGCCACG